TGCAGGAGCCCCCGGCTTAGCCGTTAGGGCGGGCTCGGGCCGTCCGCCTTGCCCAGGTATCACGCATGAGCTCCAGGCACCTCGGAGCACAGAGTTCCCTGGGTGCTCTAGCAGCCTGCACCCCCAGCCTGTCGCGGGCCCCCAGCAGCTGCGAGCACCGTGCCCTGCGCTGCCGCTGCCGAGGTCACGGCCCCAGGACGGAGCAGAGGCACTCGCAGGGCAGTTCTGCAGGTGCCACCCGTGTGTCTCATTCCGCAGGTGATCACAGGGGGACACTATGATGTGGACTGCTATGTGGAGGACCCCAACGGCAGGACTATCTATAAGGAGACCAAGAAGCAGTACGATAGCTTCCCACATCGAGCCGAAGTCAAGGGTGTCTACACTTTCTGCTTCAGCAACGAGTAGGCACTCGCAGGGCAGTTCTGCAGGTGCCACCCGTGTGTCTCATTCCGCAGGTGATCACAGGGGGACACTATGATGTGGACTGCTATGTGGAGGACCCCAACGGCAGGACTATCTATAAGGAGACCAAGAAGCAGTACGATAGCTTCCCACATCGAGCCGAAGTCAAGGGTGTCTACACTTTCTGCTTCAGCAACGAGTTCTCCACCTTCTCGCACAAAACAGTCTACTTCGACTTCCAGGTCGGCGACGAGCCGCCGATCCTGCCCGACATGAGCAACCGAGTCACTGCCTTGACACAGGTTTGTTGCGCGCCGCAACTCCCTTCTCACATCAGGAAGAAGGTCCTGCCGCAACTCCTGCTTGTGGCTAAACAGCACAAACGCATGGGATGGCTGGTCAGGACTCATCCCCCTTCCCCTCTGCCAAAAGCAGAAGTGCCCAACTGCCAGCTAACTGCTCTGGCAGGATGCAGGCACGGTTGTCCTCCCAGAGGGGGAGCAGAGCTGCTAGCGCAGGCAGAGCAGAGGCACAAAGACAGATGTCAAGGGTGCTCTGAGCCAAGGCAGAGCCGGGTCTGAACCTCCTCAAGTCCTGCAGCCCCGTGGTTTTCACCAGGGCTCACCCCATTCAGGAGAGAGCACAGCAAGGCTTTTCCATCCCTTGTATGAGCCAGGAGGGGTGGCCGTGCCTGGGGCTGGGACCCAGACCCCCTCCCTGAGTCCCAGCCCCAAACGCAGAGGGGATCTGTATGCGGGCTCGGTGGGCTCTGGCCCACCCTTCCCAGGCACCGCGCTCTGTAGCCTCAGGGCAGCGGGGTATCCCTGCCCTGCAGTCAGACCGCCCCGGCACCCCTTTTCCTCCAGAGCACGAGACGCTCGATGCCGCGGGCAGTTGGGCCCCAGATAGTCCCAGCAGGCACCTCCGTCAGGGCCTGGTCTCGAACGTTTGCCCTTCAAGCAGAAATGGCACAGGGGCCTCCCCCTCTGCTGCTGGCAGACACCAGCAGCACAGGGTGCATCTGCCCAGCCCTGACGCCCGAGGATGATCCTCAGCACCCTTCGCCACAAGGGCCGGGTCCAAGCTATGCTGTGTCAGGATTGGGGAGCAATGGAGCTTGTTTGTCTCCCCAGATGGAGTCTGCCTGCGTCACGATCCATGAAGCTCTGAACACAGTGATAGACTCCCAGACTCACTATCGCCTGCGGGAAGCGCAGGACCGGAACAGAGCAGAAGACCTCAACGACCGGGTCTTGTACTGGTCGGTTGGGGAAACCGTCATTCTCTTTGTGGTCAGCATTGGCCAAGTGATGCTGCTCAAAAGCTTCTTCACTGAAAAGAGACCAGGCAGTGGTGGAGCCAGCACCTAGGAGCCGAAGCTCTTCCTGTGCCCAGACCTGCAGGAGAGGGTGGGAGGCAGAAGGGGACAGACAGACAGCGTTCCCCTGAGTCACAGGTTTACACCTCTGTCCTTTGCAAGGTGCTGCCACGGGGAGGGGGCTGGGGAAGGAGCAGGGGATGATGCAACACAGCAAACGGTCACAGGCACCGGCCTCCCTGAGCAGTCCCTGCTAGCGACACTTCTCTCTCTGCCATCGCCCTGCTGGCTCCGCGGTGCCTGCCGCTCCCTGCCCCTCGCCCAGCCTGTCTGCCCCTGCTCTCCGACTCCTCCGGGGAAGAGGGAGGACTTGCCGAGGTTTTGCATCAACAGCCTGTCCTCTTACCTGATGCCCCTTGCCCCTCCAGAGCCAGATGCAATTGCAAGATGCAGCCCTGCGTCCAGCAAGGCCACACACTGCCCGCACGCCCCCAGCAAAGCCCCAGGCCAGCTGGGCAGGGAGCTGTGCCCAGGCCCCGCTGGCAGGAGCGCGACGAGGGGATGGGGCAGAGCAGGCTCCCCCCCTACTGACCTTCCCAGCACCGTAGGATGTGCCATTAGCCTACAGAAGGAGACCTGCAGGATTTGTGCTTCCAGAGGCCGTGGAAGAGCTAGACGCAGGATGGGCCCACAGGGCTGCTGGCATGCGTGAGCGCAGCTCCTCCGCGTGTCTGGAGCAGACAGGTCGCTCTCACCATCGCTCACAGATGCACGCTTAGCATTGACCACCCAAGGCCGGGAGCTCCAGGAAACCCTCATGGGCTCTAAAAGCAGAGGTGAGGTTTCAGCAGGGGCTTTTTGCTTGGTTATTTCATTTGCTTTCCAAGCCCCTGTCCTCACAACGAAGCACTTGCCAGGCTCTTCTCTGCAGGGTGAGCTAGCAATATACTTGGTAGAAGATTAAATTTTCCTAATTACATAAGTCTACACCTGGGACTTGGGCACCACAAACGACGCCTTGCCCAGCAAACAGGCAGGAGCAGGCACAGCTCTGCTCCGTCCATGCCAAGGGAGAGACCACAGCCAGCAGGAAGCCCCCGGCCCCTTCCCCACGCTGCAGGGAGAGTGCCCTGCTCCGCTGAGACTGCAGCCCAACGGAAGCAGCACCCCTTCCCTGCCTCCCCGGAAACGCAGACCCTCCTGCTTCCCCCGGCCGCAGCAGGGAGGCTGGCGAGACGCAGCGCACGGGTGAACTGCTGTTCCCAAATGACCCAGCAGCAACTTGTGCGTGACCTTTTGGGGACCAGAGCATCGGACGCTGCCATCAGCCCTCAAGCAGGCGAGCACAGGAACCACGCTCCCCCGAGCCAGAGCAGCACCACTGTAACGCTACTTTGCCACTTCGTAATAAACCCATAAGCTCATGGTCCCTGCTCCCGTTATTGGACCCTGCTGCCAGGCACGGACAGCAAGGTACACTAACAGCCAGCGTGGAGATTTCCTTCCCCGCCCGCAGCAGGTCCTGCCAGTTCCTGCCC